GTTTTTTAGACAGTCTCGCTTTGTTGTCCAGGCTAGAGTGAGTGCCGTGGCATCAGCCTAGTTCACAGCAACCTCAGACACCTGGGTTCAAGCGATCCTCCTGCCTCAGCCTCCTAGTAGCTGGGACTACAGGCACGTGCCACCATGCCTGGCTAATTTTTTCTATATATATTAGTTGGCCAATTAATTTCCTCTATTTATAGTAGAGACGGGTCTCGCTCTGCTCAGGCTGGTTTTGAACCCTGACCTCGAGCAATCCGCCCGCCTCGACCTCCCAGAGTGCTAGGATGACAGGGGTGAGCCACTGCGCCCGGCCATCATCTTTAATAATAAACACCACCTGCTGAATCCTTTAGATAGGTTAGAAACCGAGATTATTTCTCCCGCTTCTGGAAAAGGTTTGTCTCCCCTGTTTATAGCTGACAATTTCCACCTGCTGTCAGAAAATCAGCTACTGTACTAATGGTTAGTGAATAAGAAAATAAGGAGTTTAGGTGTGATGTGACAGTGGCTGCCGTATTTTGTTCGGTTTTCGTGGTCGTGTTCAAAGCTCAGAGGATCGGGTCCCGCATTTGGGAGAGCAGGAGGAGGGAGCTCACCGGAGCTGTGCTGCGGGCTGAGGTTTTCTACAATCTTACACAGCCTGTTAAGCAGCGGCTGTGCTCACAGAACAACCTCTCGGCTGTGAAGACTTCCCAGAGTGTGGCCGCCTACACCCTCCGCCCCGGATTCCCACCTCTGGGGGAAGGCCACGATCCCTGCTCTTCACAAAAAGGCCTTGTAGGAGAAACACCTCGCAGGCTACCGGCGCACGGAGCCTCCCAGGTGATGGGGGTGGGAAAGGTTCTCACCTTCTAGCAATTCCTCGAAGTCGTCCACGAAAAATTCCCGTAACGGCGGCCGTTTCGGCCGCTTGAGGGTGTTGACGAGCTGCTGGATTTTTGCGGAAACCCGGCTGCTCACGGGGACTCCTGCAAGAGAGGAACCAGAGATGCAACAAGAACCACGGCTCGACGGCCGAAACCAGAGTCCCTGAGCTGTCCAGGGCCGCTCTGCACGGCCACGCCCTTGCGCGGAGACCGGACCCCCTCGAGGCCCAGGGCGAAGGCTGGATCCGCCGGGCAGACAGACTCGGGGCACAGCAGCGGGCGGTGCACACACCGGACTCTGACACTCGGGGAGTCCCTGCGTCAGGAAGAGCTCGGCTCTGCACACGCGTGACCTCGCCTCTAACCCTCAGGGCAGAGTCTGTCGCCTGCAAGGCACGGCCTTCGCGTTCTGTGCTGACTCGGGCCCTTTCTCGGGCTGGACGGCTGGCGAGCGGTCAGGGTAGCCCAAGGCCTGACGGGGCCGGGGACACCCCGCCGGGGACAAGCGCGCAGGAGCGCCCCGAGTCCGCCTGGGACTCCCCACGACTCCGGGGCTCAGCCCTGCTTCCCAACGAGCGAGGCCAGACTGCCGCCCAGACACGGCCTTCAGCAGACCCCTGGCCACGGAGCCACAGCGCGGCCACCAAGTCTCTGGAGCCTCTGGGTGACAGGTGCGTGTGCCCACGTGCACCAAGAACGCACTCTGCCCTGCATCGCGTTTACTTCTTTTTTTTGTGAGACAGAGTCTCACTCTGTTGCCCAGGCTAGAGTGCCGTGGCGTCAGCCTAGCTCACAGCAACCTCCAACTCCTGGGGCTCAAGTGATCTCCTGCCTCAGCCTCCCCAGTAACTAGGATACAGGCATGCGCCACCATGCCCGGCTCATTATATATATTAGCTGGCCAATTAATTTATTTCTATTTATAGTAGAACGGGGTTCGCTCTTGCTCAGCTGGTTCGAACTCCGACCTCGAGCAATCCTCCGCCAGTCTCTTCAAAAAACAAAGATGATGCATCTATCTTGGTTTTCCTCAAGAAAATACTTGGTCCATCGCTCTTGTGGTTCAGGGTAGTTGTGGCAAATTTAAATCTACAGATCAGTATTTGAGGGCAAAATACAAAGTAGCAAGGTTTTGACCAATTGGGAGTCCGGAGCTATCCGTGTAGGTTGGTAATTGGAATTTTAAGCCTGGTGTTTCAGTTCTGGGCTCTGAGCACAGCACGGTGTGCTCGTACCTGGTGTCAGTTTGCAGGTGTGTCGGGTCAACCTGAGTCATCGGTCCCCCGATTGCCTTGGAAATGATAAGGACTGAGTTTGTTTTTTTTTTTTTCTAACCTCCACGAGGCCAAGTATATAGACTCAGATTCTAGGGAAGTGTGTTTTCTGCCAGGTGTAAACAAATTTACACCTGCAGCACAAGTCGCGCGGCTTCTTCAGAAAGAGAGAGAGCCGTGGTGCTAACGCGGTATTCTTCTTGGAAACTTTTGTGTTGGAACGTGCGCAGTTCAACAGCCAGATCCGAACCAGCCAAAGCCGGAGGGCGCCCAGATGCTGGCCATGCGCGGGGAGCAGCTGGGCGTGGTCACCAATTGGCCTCCGTCCCTGGAGGCCGCGCTGCAGCGGTGGGGGACCATCTCCCCGAAGGCGCCGTGCCTGACCACCATGGACACCAACGGGAAGCCCCTGTACATCCTCACTTACGGTAATGCCGCGGCCGTCCCCGCCTGCGCCCTGGCGCCCGTGGGTGGCCGCTGCCACGTGTGCAGACTGGAATCGCGGTCGGGGCGGCCAGGGCGTGTGTGTCTTTCTGGTGTAGCGGTGAACGGAGTCCGCTGGGCTTGGTGGCCCCCGCCTGTGATCCAGAACTCTCAGGGGCTGAGGCAGGAGGATCGCTTGAGGCCAGGACTTGCAAGGCCAGAGCCTAGGCAGCACAGCAAGACCCAACGCCCTGAATAAAACTTAAAAATCAGCCAGGTGTGGCGGCACCCTCCTACAGGCCCAGCTCTTCTGGAGGCTGAGGTGGGAGGATCGCTTGAGCCCGCCCATGAGGTCGAGGCTGCAGTGAGCTGTGATTGTACTGTGGCGTGGGCCACAGTGTGAGACCCTGTCTCCAAAAAAAGAAAAAGAATGAAATCTGAACAGATTTTTAGGATAGGAAGTTTATTTGGTTTCAATATGAAAAGTTACTATTTTTGCTACATGTTTTCTGAGTTAAAACCAGAAATGGACACTTAAAGCAGTGATCATGACCCTAAAGAGATGTTAGATTTTAGTTCTGGAATATATACGTGATTTTCCGGGGGGAGGGAAGAGTGCTTTCGGCAAGGATGGTACTTTGAGAATGTGCACCTAAACTGTGTTCGATGGATATCACTGGGAAGAAACAAAATGTTTCCAAAGGTTTAACGCTTTTCCGGAAAGCCAGAGAAACGAGCTTTCCCTGATTCCTCTCTTGATAGTTAGTGCAGTCTGCAAACTTCCTGCGATAGCTACCTGCCGCAGAGATGTGTCTCTCTTCGTCCCGTGGACAGAGCGGGTGGAGAGAGCAGGTGGCTGGGTTGGTTCTCGCCGTCTGCTTCGTCCTTGCAAAGAAACGAGCCTGATGACTCAGAGAGCAAGCCGGCTCGTGTAGTGTCTGTGGGTGCACAGTCAGATGACCTCTGTTGACCGTCCGGTTTTCTCTGTGTAACACCCACATGGCCCCGAGCGCAGTGCTGTGAACCGGGAAACGTCCTAGGAATTACATCTATCACGATAAAACGTTCCCTTTGCTC